TCAATTCCTTCCGGTGCAGTGCTCTCGATTTTGACCATCGTTAGTCTCATTGCGACTCGCATCATGAGATCATTATTGCCCGCTGGAGGATCTAAGGCTCGATTTATGGCTGTTCTGGTCCCTGATCTGCTCAAGAGGGAGAAAGTCCTCCATTGCGACTGCATCAAGCATAATTTTGATCTTGAACCATAGGCCACTAGTGCCTGTTGAATCAGTCTAGAACTTGTGGTAGTTAGATCGAACGCGAGGTTCAGCGTGGAACGGGAGGACGTGGTGTGGACGCGGTGCTAGACACGCTCCTTTTCCGCTCGTTGAGCCTCGTAGACATTCTAGCTTGGGGAGGAACTCAAGCAAGATAGAACAATTAGCGGAAAGGATGGACCTTCCTTTTACCACGTCATTTGCGTTTCAGCATTTCAAATGACCTGTCGGTTTTGGGTCAGGCATGCCAAATATATAGTTCATGACAGACCTTGCTGTTGAGGTTTCAGCAGTCTTCAATGTCGCTGTGGCCTTACTGGATTGTAGATCGTCCTCCCTGAGGCTGTTGAAGAAAGGAGGTTTTTTTTTTGATGCGAAGGAAAGGAAAATGCGCCAACTAGGCAGCAAAAATTGATTGTTGGAGACTCGAGGGATTCAAAGGAACCCCTGAGTGGGAGGGTACTTTATATCCTCTATGAATACGACTATCTGTCATACAAAAGCAATAACTATGAAATAATACAGTCACCAGCGGTAAACAAGGCTGATTCCTCAACAGAGGCACACTAACCTTATATGGTAAATTGGACAGCTGGGAAGCATGTAAAGCACGCTTCCCCTCAGGGGTCATCTTAGTCTAAGATATCTTCAATATTACTCTATTTGCCGGCATATGCTATCGCTCCTCCTAGATCCTATCAGTGCCCTCATCCCAACACTCGGCAATGCTGACTAAGGCCCGCACGGGCTGTGGGTGGGTTTCAGTGGGCGTGGGGCTGAGGCCTAGATACCCATTTCACCATATCGTATGACGTATACACTCTTCATCGCCATCGCCACTTCAACAGGACTCCAAAACATCGCATGTGCAGCTCTCTGGATCTAAATCACCTCAGTATTCCATTTCCTATATTTTAATGAAGTACAACAAGTACTCCTTGCCAAACGGGCAGCAGATCAATGTCAAACCATCCTTTAGGGGGTTTACATTTATAGTCGATGAACACAGCTTGCACGGCTCTTTTCCACCTGGATGGTCGATATCTCTTTATACCGAGAACTCGGGTAGAGGAAAGCCGTCAATTGACGAAGATGGCCAGTTCCTAATCGATTCTGTCTCGTCATTTACGAAACCAACTCTCCTCGGCGATGTGCTACACCTATCTTCAATGTCGACGCCGTCAATCAACGACGCGAAACCTGAGAGCGCTGTCACTAGACAAGTGGCCATGATTTTATTTGCCACTTTTCTCTGGTATTTCCAAGAACCTGCACTAGACCAGCATGAGCCCACGTCGTATGGAAATGAACTGCCAGGGTTTGCCACAGATACAGGAGGAGAGTGGATTTTAAGAGTCAAAGGAGACGGCCTTCTTAGTGGGAAACACCGAATGCAGAAACTCGAGAGGATGGGCCTTATCGCGACTGCTGATCCTTCGGTGGGTTCGCAAGAGTGCCTAGAGACCTTTTTCGAGATGTTCATTAGCCAAAGAGCCTTCTGGTAGTTGGATCCCGGGATCTATCTGTTTACTCTGGATCCGCCGTATTTTCCAGTCAGTGACAATGAGGCATGGAGTTCTCTTCTATCATTGGATGCTTTTGGAAGAGGATTCCCCTTTGGTGCGGGGCCTAACACTTCTGGGACCTTCATACCCTTATATTACCCTCCTATCCCACTTCAGTATAAATTCACTGATAGCATTCGCTATCTAATCCGCTTAAGAGCACCACGGCAAGGAGAGGTGTTTTATACGAGGTTCATTCCTAGCGGTGGTCAGAACATGACGTTCCGTATACCTCTAATCCCAAAGGGAAGCTCACTGAGGTTATATTCCACAACGACACAGCCAAGTGAATGGAGTGGTCCAAACTTATGCCTTGACCCTGAACTTATGAATGATTTGAAGTTGCTTCACCGATGGATGAACCAGTCTCCAACCCACACAAGCTTTATCCAGAGCGGTTCTTTAGAGGTCCAGAGGGAAAATCTCAAAACTTGCATGTCAAGCAAATCATCTTTTCCTGTACTAGCATACTGGGGCTCGACACCTGTTGGTTTTCTCGAGATTTTCTGGGTCCTTGAAGATCGTCATGGTAGGCTGCGGGGCAAAGTGGAGGACTGGGATAGGGGCTTCCGGTTCTTCATTGGAAACGACGGCTTCAATGGCCTGGATGATCTGGCACTCTTCCTGAGTTCGGTGGTTCATTATTGCTGGTTGTGCGACCAGAGAACCTCTTCCGTCTTGGTGGAGGTTAGGGCGGAAAATGAAAGGTACGGTCCTTTTCAGACGAATAGGTACCCCTGCCAATTGTTGATTTTTTGAGCCCAGGATTCTGACAAGCCAATACTAAATTAATCTACAGGTTCGTCTCGTCCCTACGAGACATTGGTTTCTTTAGGGAAAGCGAAGTGTATATTTCGCAGGAGCGTGCTGTCATCATGAAAATTAAGCGTAGTTTCTGGGTTGCGCCCTCTACCTAGCATATTTACCGTTTTAAATATATTATAAGGCATAGAAAACATGTTTGGTGCTGGTTGTGGCTAGATGAACTCTGTTAGCTTCAGCTAGCTTTGTTACTGTCACAGGGAAATGTCTGCTGTTGGTAGCATACCCCATGAGACCTTAGCTTGTTGACACTAAGACTCACTTCTTAGTGGGCGATAACCTCATATGCCCAACTGAAGATAATAATATTTGCGCCGAATACTAAGGTCCTTCAAGATTTTGCATAAGGAACAAAGTTGTCGAGGAAAGTGACGTGATACCACTAACTACTTTGGGTTTCTGGACGGTCCCGACTTCTGCTTCATTTTACAACGTGATTCCAAGCATTTTCTGTGACTCAGGACAGCTGGCAAACCTTTCGAGTTTCTCGAGGGTACTGTGTCATTCCATATGTCTTAGGCGGGATCATTCATCTGATTTTCACTCTTCTTGAGGGGTATATAATATGCCCCTCGCCTTCCGCTCTTTTCGTTCAATCAATCAATTCAGTCTTCTTAGAATGTCACTGACAGGTTCAAATCTCTTCAAACTCCCCAGTTAATGCATACATCTCGTACTGTTTTGGCTTGCTCAGACACAAGTTCATGCTCTACGGGACCTAGATAGGACTTTGTCGATTTTCATTTTTCAATTTTTTAATTCTCTAGGCTAGATGATACAGTACTCCGGGCGTTAAAGGCTACGGGAAAAGCACAAAATACGCTAAACCCTGATATATTGCGGTTGTTCTCAGGTTTCAATGTTTTAGTTAATGTAAATTTGGGCTGTAAACCGCAGAAAGATATTTGGTGCGATTAGATACATTGCACTGCTGTTTTTCAATGATAAACCTAACTAGTATCACTCACAAGATAAGAGAAATGCGGGTCAAGTAGAAACTTAGGTACTGGAACTGCACAATTCGACGATTTAAAAGGTGATGGAATTTGGCAGACTAGGGAGAGTGTCTGTTTTGAGGCCTGGTGCTCGCAGGAAGCGCGACTGCGTTTTGGCACCACGGGGGCCAAGGAGATCAAAATCCACTACTTCACTACTTCACCACCTCTTCACCACTCACCACTTTACCACCCCCTTTTTGCCTCCCTTTCGCCTTCTCTTGGCAAGCCCTCTAAGAGGGTCAGAGAGTTCGACCCTCCGCCGTCCGAAGGTCGGGAGGTCCGACTCATTTAAAAACCCTAACGTAACTAATCCACGGCCAACTCGATAACACGGCCAACTCGATAACACGGCCAAGTCGATAACACGGCCAAGTCGATAACCCCAAACCACCATACTAAACGCGAATTTTTCAGGTCACGGTGTATCAACAACCAAAAGCAGTTTTTGTTTTATTTTCAGTAAAATATAAATTCTTAGTATTAGGAACAGTGTAGCATAACTGAAATATTCTGTCGAGCTGAGAGGTGGTATTTTACCACTAAGAACTGGATGATTCAGCGACTACCCACTCCTTCATATGTTTTTGTATGGTAAACCGGGTCAACTCGGAATACCCGCATTGTAACACGCAATACTAGCCTCTCAGACTATGAGACGCTCTCAACAGCGATCTCCAGGATAGTTCTTCAATCAACTCATTCAATTGGTTCCCTCAGTACTAGCATGTACGGAAATCCTGCAGTCCATCACACAACAATTCAAGAATGTGGGGTGTAAGGCTACCAGGGTTTCATACCAGAACGGTGACGGTGATCATACAATGCAAACATGCGAAACACCCGACTGAGAGTTCCACCGACCCCGATCCCCTCCTCCTGGGCCCCTCACAAAAGGGACACATTGCCTCGTACTCCGTACATTGGACGAAGTTCCTTGGTTATGCCACCAGAATCAGTCGGGCATAGTTGGCGTTACACCACCCTCTTGCGAGTATACGTAATTGGTTCACTTCCCAGCCTGGGTCAATATAGAACGTCATTACTGTCCATCCTAGATACAACGCCTGCTAGACTTCCGCAGAGCCCACAAAGCCCAAAGCCCAACCTGGGCCCAGCCCGCAAATGGGTTGGGTTTTGGGCCCGAGGCCGGGCCCACCGGTGGGCTATGGGCTTAAGGTAGGAGCCCACTGCGGGTTTATGGGGGCCCAAATGGGCCCCAAACAGTACAAACATGCCGATTCTTGGCATTTGCATAAGTAATGCAGAATTTCCTAGTATTTTCGAGTATTCAAATTACCGTCTAAGGCCACCAATTGACTGAGTTCTCATGAGAATTAACTGAATTGACTGATGGATTGACTGATGAGATCGGTGGATTAGATAGTAGGTGAGGTTAAATTAGCTACACGCTAATCTAATAACGTTCATACAGTTCGTCATCAACATGCTTCCTCTTCCTTCCCGATGTCCGCACCTGAGACGGTGCAGCAGTGATAGTAGCACCGTCATCGTCAGCATCTATCAGATCACTAGAACCAAACTCATCACCCTGCTCTTCAGTGTCACTAATCTCTTCGGCTTCGACGTCGACATTATCTGGGTACTCATTCTTTTCTTCCCTCAGTGCCTGGATTTCATTAGAAGAGAAGAATTCTTCAAGATCCTTAGCTTCCTGCATTTCAAGCTCAAACCTTGATGTACAGAGGTATAGCATCAGCTCCTCAATAGTCTCAGACTTCAGACGACCGCGGCGATAGTGGCAGATATCGCGCGCAGTGTTGAACAGTCGTTCCACGCCAGAACCAGTTGCTGGAATTGCAAGGACATCCCTTGCAAGTGTAGCAATAGCTGGAAAACGGGATTGATTCTCTCTCCAAAAGGAGAGCGGCTCCGAATCAGTCACATCTATATGAAATTAGTATCGAGTGGAATATAGGGATGGCTATAGGGATGAACATGGGGATAAACATAGGGATGGCCATAAATTTAAGAAGGGTTAACTTACTGCCGTCAAGATACTGCGTCAGCTCATCTATAGCTGGGCCTGGCGTCACTTTGGAGTGAGACTTCTGGCTTCGAACCAAGTTATGAAGGAATGATCTTGGTGTCGATCCGGAGGAAGACCCTTGCGGGCCTTGGGCATTAGCACTACTAAGACGTTCCTGGATAGGAGTGAGGGCATCTTGGAAAGCCACTCGATACTGATCACGGAGTTTTTTGGCATCGGCCCAGTCATCAGAAAGAAAGAACTGGAACCTACTATCCGGCGATAGCATCGTACAAACCGCATAGATATGCCCCCGCATATGGTCCGTCTGCTCGTAGTACTCAGAGAGCTTTGCATGGCTTGCTTCGAGGGAGGTAAGCATCTGTTTCTTCCAAACGACACGTTTACGTTGTAACTGTATCTTTGATCTCTCAAGATGCTCAAATAGCAAGTTGTAGATCTGGAAGACAAGATGTGATGTCACGTCTCGAGTCTTTGAAAGGGCAAGGGTATAATCAAAGAATGGCTTTGTGAGACAAAGAAGGTAGTCAATCTGGCGCCATTGATCATCGCCAAGTGTGAGGTCTTCGCAATTGAACTGATCACAGAACTTCATGATGAAAAAGCGGAGTCTCTTTACCCGGCGTAGCATCAGGAACGTTGAATTCCATCGAGTTCTGACATCCTGGATCGGCATAAGCCCTTGCCCTAGGGGTTGGACAGCAGTGAATAACTCCCGACGCTGCGGACTGCCGCGGATGTAGATAGCAAGATACCGTACCTTATTTAAGGTATGCGATATCTCCTTGGATTGTGCATTCGCTTTGGCGAGGTTGACTTGGCGGTGTGTCCATGTGGTCTCAGTCGTATCATTCAGTGGGACAGCTTTCAAGCGATCAAGCAATTGGTTCAAACTTAATTGGATCACATGGGCAAGACAGGGGACTCGGATAACATTGATATCGCCAGACAAAGACTGTTGAAGCGTATCAACCAGTGTCTTATTATTTGACGCGTTGTCAGTGGTCAATCCAAAGACTCGATCCACAATTCCGTGCTCAGTGAGCGTCCTCATAAGAACAGCACTTAGGTTCGCACCCGAATGTGTGCCATGAAGGGGTTTGAAGCCAAGCAGCACCTCGCGGTAGACCCAGTCGGCGTCGATAAAATAGCCAGTGATAGCCATAAACGCCTGCCCAAACGGGGATGTCCAACAGTCCAACGCAACCGAGATCTTCACATGCTCTGGTAGCAAGCCGAGTGTATCCCGCTGTCGTTCTTTGACACGAACAGACAGCCGACGTCGAATTGTATCAGCCGATTGTATGATTGGAAGGCTTGGAGTTGGGGCGGACTGCGAGTGCGAGATCAAGTCACGGAAGGTTGGATGTTCAACGAGATTAAACGGAAGGCGGTTAATGGTGATAAACTGTAAGAGTTTATCCTCCCAGGCCTCTTGCGAGAACGGTCGATCGGCTGGATGACCCTTTCGATAGAAATAACTAGTTAGCTTTTTCAAAGAATGATAGGCTTTTACATACCGAGTGCAGAAATCCCTTCAATCCCCCCCCTTTGTTGCCGTACTCCAGTGGCCTTTTGGCAGGTTAAGGTCCGAAGATGACGGGTAATAGTCGTCGTGCCATGACGACCAACCCTCCCATTGGCATCCTTCTTTGTAGCATAAGGGTGCTCAAGAATTGCATCGCAACGCTTGCACATAACCTTCGGGCTCCCAGTGCCCGTATGCGCTACTTGCTCAAATTGTTTCCAGGTCTCCGAAGCGGAACCATGCTGTGACTCCCAAGTGATCTTGTTATTTGATCCATAGTCAGTCTCCAACCACCAATCGACCCAATCGCTGTGATTCATCCCGCTGTAGAGAAAAAACTGGCCTCTCCTACCAGGGCCCACTCGTTGGAAGCGTTCTAGGGAATCTGGGGCGACAGACGAAGGAACAGACGGCTGAACGAACGAGAAGCTGTCAACCTGCCAAGAGGTAGACGGGGTAGCTGGGCAGTTGGAAGGGGTAATAAACGATAAGTCGTCGGGCTCAGAGTCGAATAGACTCAACTGAGACGATCCAACCTCGGTTTGCTGGCTTTGTAACATGATCAGTGATGGTCAATTGACAATGAATTCGAACTTCAAAGTGGTATGGTAGGAAAGGTTCAAGTGAATTAGGGTGATGAAGGAAGAATTGGACATGACTTACCTTCTTAGTGAGAGAACTGTCGACGCGGCAAACAGAGCATGTAAACAAAGGATCATCATAGTACTGGTCGAGATTTAAACGGATGATCGCGATGCTAGTATCTCATTGGCTATATGGTGCATATCAAGTGGACTCGGCCCATTCAAAGCCCATAGATAGCCCAAGAATAGCCTATCTCCCCGCCCATTTACCAATTTGTCCACCTAAAAAATTTCACCCCCATAGCTTATGGTATGTTTTTGAACCTCCGTCCCCTCTGGAGTCGTCAAGTTATTACTTATATATGAAAGCAGGTTAGATGAGAGAGGATTAGCTATCTTTTGGTATAAAAATCAACCATATAAACCCACGAACGAGAAAGTAGCGATTGAATTTACACTTCACTTGAAAGATGCACTTACTTCAGTTAACATGAAATATATGTTTCTGCATGTTGACACTCCGTAATTCTCCAATTGCCCGAATACTACCAAATCATCGTAATCTTGGACTTTTTTCTAGCAATGTCTATAAAAACTGGTATATACTATAGCTAGTTTTATCCATAACCTTCATTACCGGACGTTGGCCACTGAATCCTGAGATCTTGATTCTTGAAGTAGTTGAACCCCCGTATTGGGTTTAGTGGACCGTCGGGCCGAGATCTCGGCTTACAGACTAAAACGTGCGTAAAAAACAGGCATTAATCATAAGATTTGTGAGCGCCAAGACAATAGTTATGCATAGAATTGGGCTTTATTGGGGGCCCATAAGGCCCCCACTAATGGGCCGTGGGCTTGGTTGGGCCCTGGAGGTCAGGCCCATAACCCACTGCTGGTTGGGCTTTGGGCCCAGACCTCGGGCCCATTTGTGGGCTTTACAGAAGTCTAATTTATGCACGATAACGCATCAACGCATACTGCACATATTGTACGCGATCTATTAAGGGATATTGGCGTGGAAGTTATGCAATGGCCACCGCATTCGCCTGATTTAAACCCGATCGACAACCTATGGGGGCTATTAAAGAGGAAGCTACTCGAATTGTTTCCTGAGCTATATACGATGCCAAATAACGAAGAAACGCGTGTATATCTTATTGGAGCTGCGCAGTATACGTGGACGCAGATAGATCCTGAGATACTACATAACCTAAGTGTGAGTATGTGCAATCGGGTCAAAGCTATCATCGAATCGCAGGGGTGGTATACCACTTACTAGTGTGCGAATATATCAGTATATTTTAATTCAATTATTTAATTTTTTTTTGCTGGCAGAATGTTATGTAATAAAGTGGAGGTGTATGCAAACTTCTTGAGGGGGACTGTACTAGCAGATACAAGATTACCTCGCTCTGTTACTAATTATTGATTGGCTATTACCGCAACGAAACTCAGATTGTACCTTACCCCACGCTCTCAACCTTTGTCTTCACTCCGACCATCACCTGGTCAAGCGACTTATCTCAGCACAAACGTACAGAACGACAGACAGGCAGAAAACAGACATCTCCAATGCCTCGCGGTTGGTACCTCGCTCAAGGCCTGGTCCCACTCGGCTACAGCAGCAGCGACGATGACGAAGGCCCATGTGAGCTGCCAAACGGTCGTCTTGTCTGTGGACCTCACGGATTGGTGCAATGTAGTAGATGTTGCAGCGACTACAGCTTTATGGACGATGTCGTTGGTGAACATCGCGAAGAACTCGAGGATGACGAGAACGATGATGAGGACCACGATTTGGCTCCTGCTGGGACGCCATCCACCATAGGTGTCCCTTCCCTAGGACCCAATGTGGTGAGAGGCACTGGTTTGGTGTTCCCCTCCAAGTTTGCACCTTGTGTTAGCCCTCTGCGACCGATGGAGTTGTTTCGCGGCAGGGCTCGGTTCATGAATATGGTTAGGTATGCCGCTTTTTCTTCGTCGCATGCTTTCACGTGCTCAGCTGACCCACGGTCATGGTCTCAGGTGCACCTACCCAAACGACAACTCTATGCTCCTCATCATGACCGATGGGGCATGTCTCAACAACGGCCAAGCCAATCCGAAGGCGGGTTGGGCTTTTTTCCAGGGGCTGAATATTGAGGGCCAACCGCTCGTTGTCTCGGGTCGTCTGGAAACGCAGGGTCCTTGGGGCGATGACGGCATCCAGAGCAGCAACCGGGCCGAGCTGCGGGCCGTCATCGCCGCCCTGCGTTTCCGACACTGGCCGGGCGAAGGCTTCAGCACAGTTGTCATCGCCACCGACTCGGAGTACGTCGTGGAGGGTTCGACACAGTGGGCGAAGACTTGGGTGCAGAACAATTGGAGGAGGAAAGGCAGGATGGGAAATGACGACGTCAACGTCAAGAACAAGGACTTGTGGGAGATGCTCCTGGGGGAGTGCGAGAATGCCCACCGCCAAGGCCTGGCCATCCAGTTCTGGAAGATCCCACGCGAATGGAACACTCTCGCCGATGAAGGTGCGAAGAAGGCTGCCACCGCGGAAGAAACGCCTGTCGAGTGGCTGGATTACCAGGGCCTCGCATTCTAAGGGCGAAGGCGACATAGTACTGTCTTTCTGTGAGTACCAGGCTAGCTGTCAGCCTACTGATGGCGGAAATATGCCCAAAGAGGAGGGATCTGGGCTTACCGCACATAGCCTTCACAAACGGGCCAGGCGCAACGGATTACAGCATGTTCACGTATTTTCAACCTTGTGTTATTTCTTATTTCTTTCCTTGGGGTGCAAGCCCGATGACTTCCGCTAGGCGATGGAAGTCATCCACCAGATGATCCCACCGATAGATGGTGCCACTCGAGCGCCACTCGCACCTTGTCCACATACGACACCCGATTTGCTTTTCCTTCATAGTGCACAGCGTCTCTAAATGCCATATTGATTGGAAGATTGTACGGCACTACATAGACAGGAAGCTCTGGTATAATCCATGATTCACTCTAGTGGCATAATATATTTTTTGGAATTCAGAGGCATGTGGATTGAATTATTCTTTTTGATAAGACAGAACCGACTGTGTATAGAAGTGAAAGTTCAGATTAATGTCCAATCAACCGTCTTCTTCGTATAGATAGTGCAGGAATTATTTCTGATGCTGCGGCATTATTCCTGATGCGCTCTTGTATCACAACATATTTCAATTTGTGCTGACTATACACCGGTCTCCCTTCTTTTAAGGACAGCTGTTAAACAAAGCATGATTTGTATAATGTCGAAAGGTCAGTTGGAGGTTGAAGCTAGTTATGAATTGAGAATTTCACGATTTACATAGGGATTTCTCGAATTTATTCCGATCCGGCTGGATTCCTGATCTGCTGCAGTCTCGAATTACTACACCAAATTGACGCCGTGCGAATATGTACGCGATTTCTGTCTTCGCATTGTGAGCTTCCACTTGCGTATGTCCCACGAACTTAGGAGGCTACACCCTATTCCTGACTTCTACCAACATTATATATCCCCGTTAGTCTCACTGACCGCGCTATTAGCAGTCTACGAGGGGCACAAAATATCTCATAATAGCCCGATAAGGACTACCTCGCGGACAGGTCAACCCTCGTATCCGATATCTATAACCTGCGACCGCCCGTTGCAAGGATAATGCGATAGGTGGTTCTATACTCTCCTTAGTACTTCGGTTAATACACTTGGAATTATCGTGGCAGATTGTATATGGAAAAGACAGTCGGGATAGCGCAGAGAATCCGTACTAACAAGAAACACGAGGAACCTTCGGCTAAGGCTCAGCCGACAATTTGTGGGTAGGAAGCAACTCTATCTTTCCCTCTCGTGGAGCCAGACGAAGCCACAGATCGGGTCGCTCTTATAAGCACCGAGTCAGATGCCGGGGGGAATTGCAAGGAGCTGTGTCGGCAGGGGCTGTGCAGGTATAGATAGAAGGGCGAGAAAGGCGCGTTAGTCTAATTCAAGCCCGTGGCTCGCCGCCTAGTTACAGAGCCAGCCTAGTCTCCTTCGCTCGGAGGCGAGGACTTGAGGTACTGGGTGGAACAAGTGCATCAAAGTTCAATCGCTTGTGGGTATCCTTAGTAGAAAGAGGGGTGCGACCTGGGTTCCTAGGTGTACAGCCGCCCTAAGCAGGCTGAGCAGGACTAGGGGTCATATTCACGAAATCAGCAAAGTTAAACTACTGATCTAGCGTACCTAAGTTGGGAGTGAATATAGGAAGGACTGTATACTAGGTTAGGGGAGTGGATGGTGGGAACGGATGGTACGAACCGCCTACTACGCGAGCCGGGGTAGGCGACTTGGCTAGGTACATAAGCAGGTCTGCGCCATGTTTGTGCTGTTCACTCCGGGCTAGATGGGCATGCTTGGGAGGCGGTGTATAAGGCGGCGAGGATCCCTATATAGAGCTTATATGCCGGAAGCTATGTATAGGCAGATCCGGGTCGTTCTCCTTATCAGATAGGGCTTGATATACAGGAGAAGATAGCTCGGGGATTGTGGTATCGGATATGAAGGGGCAAGGGTGCCGGCGAGTTGTTATATAGTAATTGAGGGCCGGTGAGGACGCAGGCAATTGGTGAGAGCTCTTCTACGACAGTCGAGCAGCCTTAGCCGGACGCTCGGTATCAGAATCAGGCCGGACACGCTTACGGCTGGCCGAGAGCATAGGCTGCATAATGTGGGAATTGAAGGTAACGGCATGCTTGTTGCGGGCTGATCGAGGCCGCTCTTTGGAATATGCTGCGGCTCGGAGGGGAGGGGAGGTCATAGGTGTCTCGCACCGGCTGCGAGAGAAGTCAGAGGAGGAGTCGGAGGGGTTGTCACTGCTGTCCTGCGTCGGCATCAACCCATAAAGTCGGCCATACTAGTACTTGAGCTTGGCTAGGCCCAATCGGTTCTGTAGACTCAGTGAAACCTATAAGACCGCCGTCCAGGTCAGCGTGCGTTGATTCTTGACTGGGCACGAAGGTTCTCGAGGCAGTGAATTGTCTATCTGGCCCTCCTAAGCTATTGCTAGGGCTTGACTAGTCCGGGTGCAATCTGCACCCTAGATACAGACGGTCCACTTCTATTCTGAGGCTCTCGAGGTTTGATGTTTTTTGAGGTATTCTTACCTAGGCTATTTCCAGTTTCCGAATGGCCTTCTCTGCGGAGCCACGCTGTGAGGACAGGGTTATGGCGGGCAAATGAGGGAAGGGAAGGAAAGTCGAAGGCAGGGCAAGAGATGGTCCTTTGCTATGGAGGATTAGGCTTGGGCGTTCGCTGCAAGGGCGGGCTGAGTAGAATTGCTGAGTGAGACCCAACTAGCGAGAAGAAAACCGGGGCCACTTTGGCCGAGAATAGAGTCGGACAATTTGGGTGAGACCAGGAAATTACAATGAGAGAGTGTGTGATATAGAGCTTTTATTCTTCGAAAGAAGCATAGCCCACCCTCATCTATCGTCTTTCGAGATACAAAGTGATATTTCGCAGAGCACACGTGGACAGAAACGCGACCGAGCAAGGTAAGAGATTGGAAGCCAAGGCCCTGGTGGTGATTATTCATCGCAGCTGATGCGCTGCAAGACTAGTGGTAGCGCTGTAGGCTCCTTTTCTTGATGATGAATTCTGCTGTATGCGACGAGATATTCTATTGAGCTGAGGTTGGGGCCGCTTAAAGTTGTAGGTGGGCGAAACGCGTCCCGTCGTGTCGCGCCGTCGGCATGCTAACAAAGGCGGTAGCGGTGCTAGGATTCTCTACGCCGAGGCTTGCCGGTGTGAGTAGCTTTCTAATGTCCAAAATGCGATCAGTTATGATTCTTGATCGCGCGACGACTTGTTTTGTTCGGGATAGTGGTGCCTGGGTTGGGGCGTTGATTAGGCATACATCGTTCGCGAACTAAGGCGAGTACTCCGCCGCGTCTCGTCATACGGGCTACCGCTGCATCGTATGCTCCGTTGAAGTTTTGAACCGCAGAATTCGAGTGCTTCCTAAGCTTATGATCATATGATGATTTTCCACAAACTGTGGCAGTGTATTGGTCGTTACCCTTCCTATGAGGGAGTAGCCTGAACTCTTCCTTATCAGCAAGAACACCAAGCTCGCTTGCGTTCAATCACTCACATCTCTTGCTGTCACATTCTCATCGAATGAAAGCCGTGTCGGCTTCTTTAGCCTTAACCCGGCATTGTAATAAAATCCAGGAAACATGGCCGTCGGCTCTGATGAGGTATCAAACCAGTCGAATAGGCAGCAAGTCCCTGTCACAAGTGGGCATACTTGGTGCAGGGCCAGTTCAGCAGGAAATGAGTCGAACTATTGGAGCGGAGACAATGAGTAGATGGCGATACACGGTGTGCAGACTGCGCATAGAGACAAGACGGGCCTACCATAAAGGGGATGGGACCGTTGGAAACTGTTCAAGGCGGGGGCGAGATGAAAGGAGACCGGTGCCAATCGACAACTTGACGTGCAGAGAAAATGTTAGTCACACAGTCATCAAGGTATCTAGCCAATCAGTACTTACAACTCCAAACTCTATACAGGGGCGTGTTCGTGAGCGACTATGTTTTTCAGGATTAGCCGTGCCTTTCGGACGCGTTGTTATATATGGACAAGGTACAGTATTTTAGAAGTGCTCAACGAGATACATGGTCAGAGCGTATGATGTATCGTCACGGTGCGGAGTGTAGATAAGGCCCATGCTTGTATCACCCTTGGTATCAATCAGCCCCACATCAAGCAAGCAGAGCGACGAGGCGTACTTACATGCAAGTTTGGCAATCGTCAGAAGGGCCTTGGAAGGAGGAACTGCGGCTGGTCAGCACATCTTAGATCAATCAGAGCGTACAATAGGACCAGTGAGCCTTATGGGTGTTGACTTTCATACAGGCAGGCTGCAATCTGCGCGCTTCGTATTAGAAAGACGGAACGATGGCTGGGACTATCAAAGTGTTGTATAAGTACGGAGGTCCATTTCAAAAGTCTTTCTATATTTGCTTTTTTTATTATTTTTAATATTACTAGCGTCGTTATAGGCCATACACGCCTCTCTAACCTTTACCCCTCCTTCGACCTCTCCATAATCTCTCTGTCAATCTATCTACATTAATCTCTGCTTCAAAATGGTTAAATACGACGTCGCTACGCGTACTGCTGCGATTATGATGTCTGTTTTTGGCATGGAACCTCGCTATATCTCTGATTGGACTGGTATACCTACCGAAACCGTTAAAGCAATATATAATCGTGCTATCGAGCGCGGATTCGATCCTTCGAAACGACCTTTTACGTTAATTGATGCCTATGTCGCTGATGCTACTCGCACTGGCCGTCCAAGGAAGCAGATACCTGCGCTTGAGACTGCTGTAGTTGCTAAGGTTCGACGCGATCGATATGGACGCGAAAAAACCTGCGCTGATATCGCTAGCGAGCTACTTGATATATCAGCTACGACTGTATGGCGTGTGCTACGAAACGCTGGTCTAAAGAAGACTAAACCTACCCGAAAGCCTGGCTTAACGGATCGAATGCGTACTGATCGATTGAATTGGTGTCTTGAGCATCAACACTGGACGCTTGAGGACTTTAAAAATGTGATTTGGACCGATGAAACCTCTGTGATCTTACTACACCGCCGCGGAAGCTATCGGATCTGGCGTACGAAGGATGAGGCTTTTCTTCGAAGCTGTATTCGGGAGCGTTGGAAAGGAAGCTCCGAATTTATGTTCTGGGGTAGCTTTTCTTATGATAAAAAAGGCCCTTACCACTGCTGGCTTCCTGAGACTGCTGCTGAGCGTCGAAATTCCGAGGCTTTAATTAATACTTGGAACGCTGATCTCGAACCTAAGCTACGCGCTGAGTGGGAGCTTACAAGCGGTGTTCGACGGATTAATCTTCGAGGTCAAACACCTGGAAAGAAGCCTATATGGCGGTTTACTACGAAGACCGGGAAGCTTACTCGAAGTAAAGCTAAAGGTGGGATCGATTGGTATCGATATAATACTACGATCTTAGTGCCGAAGCTTTTGCCCTTTGCGCAAGCGTGTATGGTCGATCGGCCTGATACTCTTGTCCAAGAAGATAAAGCGCCTGCGCATGCGCATCAACATCAACAAGTAGTATTCGATATGGCTGGTGTTTCACGCCTTCTTTGGCCAGGAAATTCGCCAGATTTAAATGCTATTGAGCCTGCGTGGCCGTGGATGAAGCGCTATACTACTAAGAAGGGTGCACCGAAGAGCAGGGCAGATGCGATTAAGGCGTGGGGTGAGGCATGGCATACACTACCGCAGGAGCGTATTCAGCAGTGGATTGAACGATTACCTAGGCATATTGAGGAGATAATACGTTTAGAAGGGGGTAATGAATATAAAGAGGGCAGGGGGCATTAAACCAGTCGAATACTGGTTAAAAAACGCCTAGGCTAAATGAGGTATGGTATGAAAAAGCAAATATAGAAAGACTTTTGAAATGGACCTCCGTAGGCCTCCTTCTTATCGTTCAGGGATGTCTGCAGGCTGGTGATTGTATTTATAGATGTCGCTCGCCCCATTCTTGGTAGTTCCGTGTCAACGTTGAAGTATGTTCAGCATCTCGTAGCGTAGCCTTGCTCACTCCTTACAAGTGTGCTTTCTACCCTTTTCAACAGCAGGCAGATTAGACTGGATTTTCAAGATCAACTTGTGGCTTTGGGTCGATGGTGACTGTCAATTCAACCATGGATTATGGTTGCAAACGTTTCTTCAACGCGGCTTTCTGTTCTCACCGCGTCGTTGACTCAACGGCCGCACTCACAACATCACCATTACATTTATGTGCCATAACTGCTATGTGATGTACATGATGCTGGCGTCAGGTTTGCCTCCGCTACCACACCAAGCAATTCACCACTTGGCAAGGAACTGAGTCACTTGGTACGAATCGCGAATCTGCCAATTTGGACCCTTATCAATTGCGGTCGCGCTTCCTCCTGGCACTGGGGAACCGCAATAAAAACTTTACCGGGACCGGGGCATCTACTTTTTCTTATACTGTAGCAACTTGAGAGCTCCTGGCTCCGTTTTTGTTAATTACTGTACATACTTGTATGTCTCTTGTTGTGTGCTGGGTAATAGGTGAATTCATATATATGATGACGGGTACATTTTGGCGCTCGACGGGCAAAATATATCTTGTCAATTTGTGGCTTAAAAAATCAGAACCAACACATGGAAATGGTCGCAGATGCATAGCGATTCAGCAGAGCTGCCCTTTAGAATAACCTCTGCTTTTCAGAGCAACTTTTTGTCCGAATTGGGATCGGAAGAGGACAAACCTATCTGGAGCTCAGAAAACTTGGGGAAGTCATTACTCTTGCGAGAAACAAAGAGGAGATCCATTGAAACTTGTGGCGTATATGCTCGTTTTCTTTTTTGGCCTACTAGTACAGTGCCAGGCAAGAAGTTCTCACACACCCTTCCTCCCGCCTACCTTACCGCCTACTAATTCAAACAACCTACCCGGCCACCCTGCCAACCATCATGATAACCATCAAAATAAACATCAAAATAAACATCAAAATAAACATCAAAATAAACAATACCCCTATTCAAAGGGGCCTATTCAATAGGTAAGCTAGTTAACCCTCCTATTCAACCTTTCAATCACCACTAATTAATATGCCTCGAGGACCAGAACTATCACCATCTACACGATCGCGAATCTGCAGCCTTCGTACCGATGCGAAGTACTCCTACGGTAAAATCGCAAGCCTTTTCCCTCATATCCCACGAAGCACAATTGTCTCGACCTGCAAGCTTGAGGCTATTCGTGGTAAAGAGAACGATTCATGCAGACGTACCGGTCGCCCAAGGATCCTCTCTGAAGAAGAGAGAGATTTAATCTACGATTATATTCAACAAAAACCAAGCTGCCGATACTATGAGCTTCTTGATTTAGTGGATAATAAAATCTGCGAGCGTACTCTACGAGACCTACTAAAAGAATTCGGCCTACGGAAATGGCGCAAGATTACTCGACCTCAATTGACTGAAATCGACGCAGCGAATCGTCTTGCCTGGGCCGAGAGATATCGCAATTTTACGCCAGAGGATTGGTCTCGGGTCTATTTCTCTGATGAAACCTCAATTGAACGTGGTTCAGGCGCAGGTGCTGAGTGGACCTTTATTCGGCCAATTTATCAAGCGCAAATGGGTGAGGTTTATCAGAAACCCTGCGGGAAACAGCTTCGCCAGATGTTTTGGGCATGTTTTAATGGCGATACTAGGCGAACTGGCCTAATTCCTATGTACGGCGATCCCGAATCAGCGCGTGGTGGTGTTACTGCGAACGTTGTACGATCAACCTATTCAACCTTCCTTCCAACAATACTATCAAATCGATCTAATGCGATTTTTATGCATGATAACGCATCTACACACACTGCGCATATAGTACGCGATTTCCTAAGGGATCTCGACGTAGAAGTTATGCAATGGCCGCCTCATTCGCCAGATCTAAATCCAATTGAGAACCTATGGGGATTACTAAAGCGTAAGCTGCTAGAGCTATTTCCTGAGCTCTACGATATGCCTAATAGTGAAGAAACCCGCCGCTATCTAATCGAAGCTGCACAAGCTACCTGGTCGCAGATAGACCTTGAGATCTTGCGTAAGCTTAGTATTAGTATGTGCAATCGTGTGCAGGCAATCATCGAATCTAAGGGGTGGTACACTACCTACTAGGCTATGTGGATACCTCAGTCTGTTGATTTTAATTAATTTAATTAATATAACCGGCAGAAAATTATGTAATCTACTAGGGTGTGTGAGAACTTCTTGCCTGGCACTGTAACTCCACCTTCCAGGTCATGCGTTCGAATCTTTCGGGCATCGTTATTTCTAAACGATGTTCAAAATTTAGTCCATCAACTCCCGCACCGTGTCATTGCAGTTCGCCTAACTAGAGAGGCGGATGCAGCGCGTTGTCTCCACACCCTTCCCGCATCCTTCGTAACTCTCTTTTGCGATCGTTCTTGGCGTCCATCGTTGACGAACGCGCTACCACAAAAGGATAGTGCACATTTCGTGCTCTTTGCCGTTCGCCCTTTAAACCAGTTCCCGTTCATATATCGGACGAGCCTGCGTTTTCCTTTGTGACCGGCTAGCAATTGGACGTCAGCCGTCCACGGAAACAAGGATCGTAGGCAGAGCTAGTCCGATTAAGACTAGCCACGTAGCGATTGCGGCCTCCCCATCTTCTATGCGGGGCATAATGGGCTTTGAGGTTATCGCGACGCGTGAAGCGGCGCTGGCACTCCGGAACCCAGCAGGCATATGACCTTTCAGCCAGGTGGCCGGACAGATGACGCTGTAGGCCTTTGAAATGTCGAAAGTGACCGCTGCACCTTGCAACGCTGCATTTCAATTGCCGCCACCGAAACGGCCGTGGTATGCTGTTGCGGGTGTTGCTGGAGTGTCCTTGGTTGCCATAGACGAGGCGTGTGACAATCATTTGTTTCAACAGCGCCGCTTTTGTGACTATCTGGCACGGCGAAACGTCATCCTTAGTAGCATAGTTGGTAATATAATACAGAAGAGACAACGACTTGGACACGGTTAGAATCTAGGAGATATCATGATTTGCTTTAGGGTACCGGAGTGTGACGATGTGGGGCACGCAAACTGCTTGCCAGCCACAACCGAGAACTACTAGCCAGTCCCCGCTCCCACAGAGGAAAATGTCGTAGGGGTCATGTTCTTAGAAAACGCTAGATGAATTTAGCGTTGTTACAGTATTATTCCGGTTGCCTGAGTATTCCCCTCCGCTAGTATCCTTGTCTGACTGAGGTTGAGCTGGCTCTATTTTAGAATTATATACTCTTTTCATACTATTTAACATTGTTGACTAGTAATGGGTGTTTCTTTCGCAACCTCCAGTCTTCATCTGACATCACCAACCAACTAGACGACGTAGAGTTATTCTGTCCATATCCAACCTGCTCGAGCTAGTTCTAGCCGGACGCTATTGTAACCGAGATATACCATTCGGAATACCATTTAGACATCATTTCCACATGTTCCAAAACCAATCCACACTCCCTCCATTACGATCCGGCTTCGTCGAGGACCATTTCCTCAACAACTGATTAATTTCCACAAACCCAGGCCGATGCGATTCATTGCCCCGGGCATATTCCATTATCGACAAATATCCCAGCACATACCCAATCTCTGGTTTCGCCCCTCCCACTTCCAACAAAACCCGAACTGTCGAAACATGACCGCGAAATACCGCACGAGCCAGCGCACTCCACCCGCCGCGGTCACAGTAATCAACATCGGCCCCTCTCTTAATCAAAAGTACCACCACCTCTTCATGCCCCATTGCGGCCGCATACGAAAGCGGCGTCCTCTCCCCCGGCGAAGAATCCGAAAAGATACTATATTTCCCATCCTTCGAATTCATATCCACTTTACAACCGTCTTCACAATCCAACAAGATCTCCACAATCTGCCTCTGTCCCCTCTGCGCCGCCCATGATAATGGCGTCCTCTCTAATAAATCCCTCGAATCCGGATCTGCCCCTCTCTCTATCAATCTCCTCACGATCTCTTCCTGTCCATCCTCCGCCGAATGCGACAGCACCGTCCGTCCATCTGGTGTTCCCCTCCTATCCAAATCAACTCCTTCACTTTCCAGCAATGCCGACACAGCCTCCTCGTGTCCACGAACCGCAGCCACAGCCAATGGCGTCAACCGTCCATTTTCCTCCGTGCTATTAGGATCGGCGCCGGCTGACAGTAAAACTTTGATGACGTCTGTATGGCCACTCCCCGCGGCCCAAAAGAGCGGTGTTCGACCGCCCGGGTTGAAAGTGCGTCGGTCGAGGTTTTTTGTTTCGATATTCGCTCCGTGTGAGAGAAGGAGTTTCACGATGGACGTGTGGCCTTGGTCGCAGGATATGGTGAGCGCGGTGTGGCCTCGTTCGTATTCATGTTGGTCGTCGTTGTTGGGATTTACACCTTCTTTCGTGAGGAGTGTGTGGACGAGAGAGAGTTGGCCGGCTTTACAGGCGTGAATTAGTCGGGTGGCGAGAGATTGTTCGGGTAAGTAGGAGGAGGTTTGCGTTTGTGTTTGTAGTTGGGGTTTCGAGAGTGGAGGCGAAGGTTCTTGTTTGGTGGTTCTGTTCATGGCGCCCAGTTTTCCTTTGTACAGATAGGTAGCCCTTTAAACTCCTAAATCTAGTTTCTGTGGTGGCGCTTTGGGGGGTGGCAGTTTACTCGATTACTAATCTCGATCGCCCTAGACATGTATTCCGCTAATCAGAGGCTCGAGAACACGCCACGACATCGCTAACGCGCTCACTGGCATATTTGTGCCGGCGGTTTATGCGTCGCTTTTATTACAATTCACCAAGGTTTACAGATGTAAGCTCTTTCTCTTTGGATTCGGCTGAGTACCACACTGACAGATATTCTGAAGCAAAGGGTGAGGCGAAGAATTGATACCATTGGCCAATGGTGTTCATTGCGTGATGAAGTGGGACACAACGACCGCAGTGGCCTCCTATTCGGTAGTGCTTGTCCATGCAGACACCTAGCCCGTGTGGCTCGAAATCCGTACTAGACACATATCGAGAGCCACGAGGCCAGTCATGTAAAAGATCTGTCGAACTGCGTCCAGACGGGCTTCCAGTCTGGAGAGGTGGGTCCACGGCGGAGAAGCCGTAGCGATAGGAGTCTCCGCTTCCAGTAAGGAGGGATTCCATTGGCTCACTGTGTTCATTGCCTGCTGAAGTGGGTCAATATCGAAATATACCCACTGAGTTCAAGAAATGGCTACACCTTCAGTTCGCTTTGAATTCATCTGAGAAGGTACAAGCAACAAATTTGACCACAAGGGTATCTCCGAACGGCGAGTGCAACCCAACATACGGTTTGGCCTCCTCCATTGCCGCCACAATTCTCTGTCCCAAGCGATCCAAGTTGAGGCGGATGCGACCCTCACGACTCAGGGCGACGCGGCCGACCCAATGAACCGACCCTACCCCAAGCATATCCCGTGGCTTGATTTCCCTTAACTCCAGGAACAAGTCTGTGGAAGTTCGACTGTACCGCTGCCTTTCCCTTGCGCCCACTGTTCTCTTCTGATACCAAATCGATTATGTCTTTACGAATATCCAGAACAGACAGATCTATTCGGTAGCGTCTCTTCGGAATTTTGAGCGAGATACGGTGGTTAACTTTGTCGAAAAGGTCATAACAGATGAACCCCTTCGACATGAATTTGGAATCCAAGGCTGAGTCACATTCTATGATGGTGCAAACCCATCGGAAACTGTAGCAAATGAATCTTCAAGACGCCCCGACCGTAGTCGCAAATTTGGAAAGACAAGCAAGTGCTTCTCGTACTGGAGCCAAGAAAACATCAACAGAAATTGGTATGAACAGGGCTGGTGAAAGGAAACATCAAGCGAGACCTCGAACTGAGAATGAATAACTACTATCCGCCTTATTGAAGCCATCACATTCGTTTATGTAGGATGAACACTCTGTACGTGGAATATGTATGAAGGTGGTTCAGTAAAGAAAAGCTACTAAGATAATAAGATTCGCTCCGTGGCTTTTAGTTGACCTAAAGAGATTGGCTAACGTTGCTCAAGAAAAACCTATCATGCTCTTAGGGGTGGTTTCCGCCAAGCGACTGCGTGGATCCAAAACATACGTCGCAGGTTCTCTACATAGGTTTTCTAAGTATAATTTTCGTCCAGTTAAGACAGAATTCGATCAAAGACTCGCATCACTATAACTTACACTACAAGATAGCACAGCACCTCTCTGCTTTATCTTTAGGTTCGAGAAGTGAGGCCGCCGATCCGGTCTCGAAGACATCTTTGACACCCTCCCCAGTCAGACTAGAACATTCAAGGTATCTATAGGCGCCAATCTTATGCGCCAAAGCGTCGCCAAACGATTTAGGTGTAGGCTTCAGCCCATTTTTGCGAAGTTCTTCAATAGTGACTGTGTCATCGCGTAAGTCTTTCTTCAAACCGACTAGGATGATCGGGATGCCAGGGCAGAAATGGGCGGCTTCAGATATCCACTATCAATTTCAAATAGCGATCAGCAAACAATTTGTTATCGGAGTACCGCTTCCTATTGCGAGAACAAATCCAAGAGCATAGGGCAAAATGACCTTTTGCTCTACATTATCCATAGAATCTGGAGAGTCAATGGCGAAGCTGATGAGGACAACGTGTGCGCCGGGATATTTAAGTGGCTCTAACCGGCCAAAGTCATATACCCCTGCTGTGTCCCACAAGGCGAGCCGTATGATAATACTATGCCCTTTTTCATTTGACACATTGCACTCGTAAATACCGGGACAGTGTTCGAAAGGCACATTGTGCCTGAGATCAAAGGTGCCTTGAACCTAGATAATTGCGATTCAATTATACTTAGAATTTTAAGAAAAGCAATTACTGCGAGGCGGGACAAAGGACGCTTACCTTTTCCGGAGAATTACCATATAGCGCAGCCCGTAGTAAAGAAGTCTTGCCGCAACAGGAATCCCCGACTAGGGTCAACTTCCTATATTCGATGTCAGCGTCGAATGTTGAGGTGGGTGGATAACACAAAGATCATTTGAAAGACGTTATTTGGCTCTCAACAAGCAAGAGCTGTATTATAGACCACGATAATATGGTGTGGTCAGGAGTGAGATAATGCGGTGATGAGCTCAATTGCGTGGCGTACCTTTGTGTGACCTTGTGTTCACTAGCCATCGTTTATGAAGCAGGCAAATCTCCTAGTGAGTGCGGGAGATATTCTTGAGAATCAAGTTAGGGCCCCGTATCGCATCAGAAAATATTTTCTAGTGAGAAGAAGTATCGTCCCTAGGGTCGAGTGAGAGGGAGGTTCGACTTTCAGCCGTCGAGAGAGCAGTTGTGCGAGGAGAATATCAAAAGTGGAGGACGAATGTGCAGACTGATGTGATAAAATTAACCAAAACGAGGGGCCATTGTGGTGACACTTGACCAATCATAACACGGACAGAGTGCTCGTCACGGCTAGCACGCCCAAATAATAAATTTTCTATACGGATAAAACATAGGTATTATATAGGGGACAGCCATGCGGGGGTTTGCCGTTATCCTAGGCAGGGTGTTCCCCAATCAGATCCGGAGGGTGTGGTTATATAATATCATATCTCTTACGAGCTGCGCTGGGCAGTGGCCTCCGCTTACTGGAGTCAGAATGAGTAGCAAAAACGGAAAAGCCAACTCCGTACAAAACACTAAAAGAGGTGCTGATCGGACAAAGAACGGAGACTAGGATCCGCTCTAATAAGCCTTTGTCCAATGGCACTGAAAGCATTCGTCCAATACCACTGAAGCACGACAAGCCAACCATTGCGATTTTGGTCCAAATTTCGCCACAATTTTTGTATGGCTTTTGGCAGTCTCACGAATATTTACGAAAATCAGGATCAGGTTCTGTCACGTGCAGGAGGTTCCCCCTCTATCGGAATCCTTCTTTGTGGATCATACTGGTGCACCAATCGGATATCAACAAGTCTGAATTGCTATGCTGCCCGTTGCTGGCAATTTGTGTGGGCATAATAATGACTAATCCCTCGGATCTATAGTATCTCCTTTCTTCCGGGTATCCACCTATGCTGCTGTTCCGACACCCTCCACTCGTTCCGCGCTTCAGGGCACGTGACCTGGGACACGTGAGGGTAAGGCAGATCCGATAATGCAGAACCCAAAATCCAATGACAGTGAAGAATGCAAACCAATTGATCGAGCAAGCTAAATCAGTAATGGCTAGTATTGCAATGAGTGGGGATTCTAGTGGAAGGGGAACCAATCAGTAGGATTGACAGATTGAATTGATTGATTGTAGATAAAATGAGTGGCAGGCGGGTATGTTAAATACACATCTGCAGATTTGGTCCATAGTTGATATGTGGATGGGACCAATTCCTCCGTGTCTTAGAGGACCCATGGGATACTCGAGAGTGACTCGAAAGTGTTGTCTCGGAACCCCGTAATTTACATACAAAACACAAAGAAAGGCGGGGGACGAAGGAAACCAATAGGAGGCAGCTGTAAGTAACTGCTCCACTATCCTCGACATGGTGGTCAGTGCCACCGGTGGTGGATATTGTCGTTGTCTGCTCTGACACTGACCCATGACTCACTTTCCTCCTGCTGCCTTTTTCCTATGCAATCTGACATTGACTTTCTTCCACCAACATGAAGACTATCCTTCGCTTCGCTGACCTATTCATCATCCTGCCCTCCCATCCTCCCTTTCCCAACCATGGCTCGCACCGCCCTATTTGTGATCGATATTCAAGCCGATCTAGCCCAGGATCCTCGAACTGAAATTCCTCACGCCGCTCGAATCCGAGATGTTGGGGCCGCCGTTCTTTCAAAGGCACGAATAGCCATCGACAATGAACTTGGTCGCGGCCTAGGTGCCAATCTTAGCATAATCATCGTCCAACACCACGAAACCCCTGAAAATGGCTCTTTGGTTAGAGGCAGCAAGCCGTGGGAGTTAGTTTTCAAACCACGTAATGAAACAGAGAGGATTGTGGAGAAGACTACCAGTGAGTTAAAACTTGACCGATTGCTTCAATACAATCACGATCTCTTGTTTTACAATAGAAAATGGTGTCCGGGCCACTTACTGTACTTATATAGGGGACACGTTCGAGTCCAACCAGCAACTCGCAGATCAGCTAAAAGCCGAAGGGATTGAAGAGATTGTGGCTTTTGGAATTCAGAGTGAATGTTGCGTTCAATCAACCTGTGAGGGGGCATTAGCTGCTGGCTTCAAAGTTGTGTTGCTGCAGGGAGCCCATTCGACTTATGATATGGGAAGTAGGAAGGCAGAGGAGATTGAGCGGGAGGTTGAAGAGAAGCTCCGCAAAGCAGGTGCGGAAATTATTCCATGGGATACATGGCAACCTTGACATAGATCAAGGATAGCCGCAGCCGACGTCCGTCCTAGTCATAGATAATGCATCCTTCCACCACTCCGAACGGACTGCGTAATTATATATCAATATCGGATTCAAGTTGGTTTACTGTATCTACCTCCTTATTCGCTAGATATAAACCCGGGTGAAGGAATTTTTGCCAAGCTCAAGGGCTTCGTTCGAGCTTAGCTAGAGCTACTATGAAGATCATCCAGACTGAGGATTTGGTTTATTTTTTGGCTGGTATTATCATGGTTGGAGATAGAGAGCAGAGTAATAAAGACCATCTTTAGCACGTAGGCCTGACTATTTGTACTCCCTATACTAGATCCCCTTAGCGGCACCGCTCCATTGAGCGATCGGTCTCTCATTGAGTCTCAAAAGCTGCAATTATAATAATTCTGCGAGAAAATGAAGGAAATGCATTGATGAATTTAGGGCTTTTGGACTTGTCACTGCTCTCTTGTGTCACGGGCCAATCAATACCCGATATTTGCCGCGTCTGCCACGAGACCTTGGCACGTTGACACGGCGAACGTGCGGGGGAAAACTTCTTTTCTTTAAGCCTTTTGTACACACACAATTTATTAACGCCCGGCGGCTAACCCGAAAGGGCAACTATCACTGATCTATCAACACAGGTCCTAATGTACATATGCCGTATCTCCTTCGAGCCCATACATGGATCCTTTCAGTATATGTCCTCTCAGCTGTCGATATCATACGGATCCTTGTGGGTTAGTAATTTTATTAGTAGACTGGCTTGAAGGCGCTTCTTCAAGTGTTCAACATCCTATCCTCGGCAGTTGAAGCGCGTTTACCATCTTTGGCACAAGGTGGTTGGTGTATGTTAGTTAGGGGCCGAAAGACATTAAGTAGCTTCGACAGGCCTACTTGCATAGACCACTACCCCAGTTTTTCACCCGATAATTGAGGCTTCTGGTCCTTTGAGGTTCACCACGCCTCTCACCCTGGGTGTCTCTCAGTTTGCTCCATAAGCATACATCACGGGCAGGCCAACTAGGACGACACCGCTTCAACCGACCAAGGTCGGTCTCAGGCCCCCAGTGCGAGTGAGGTAGTTGACTCCCGGGTTTTTGTACACCGACACGCGCATCCGTCCTCTCGGGCTATACAGACAGTCTCTTGACAGGCCCCGACCCTGTCGCAGTGGCTGCCATTGCACACCACGCCCCGCGAGAGCTTACACTCTCGTTTCGCGTTACCTGAGGAGGTCTCCCTCCCTCAGGCCGACCGTGTCTTGCAGAAAGTTCTCTATACGCTCCCTCCGGCAGTGTATATTGGTTGCTCTCCACTAACCAAGCTTGGTCCCCGGTATGTGAACAGGGTCGACGGGTTGCCCGTGGCCAAGCCTTAACGAGTTCCGACGGCTGCCACCAGCTAAATACCGATATTTTCCAGATTGCCCGTGTGTCTCCCAAAGAGGATGCCCGTGTCTCGGTGGTGCCCGTGTATCAAAGAACAGCCGGCCTGGAGGGTGCCCGTGGCTGGGCCTTAACGAGGTCTCCAGCGAACGACGTCTCTGAGTCTTAACGAGGTCCGAGCCTTAACGAGGTCTCTGGGCCTTGAACGAGGTCTGTCCGACGTTAGCTTGACTGCCTGTGTCACCGGTTCACTACCGCCTCGCCGCATCTCGCACGATGCGATCCCAGACCGTATGCTCAGGGGTGTCCTGTCTTCCTTTTAGGGCGACACCACTTTCACAGGTAATGCAAGGCCAGCTTCTGGGCCCGAGTGCGAGTCGGGTAAAAAGAAGTCGGGTGATTTTCGTATCCCATTATCCCCTGATTTTGTTGTGGTTGTGCGATCGTGCCCCGCGCCTCCCACACCGGGTCGGACCGCACAACCACGGCGGATTCACTTTGGTCTCCCAGCGGGGATTAACACCGGACACCACGAGAAGGTATGAATCCATTGTCCCAGCAGCCTGGCGAGGACTGCTGCCCAGTGTGAGCTCACTGGGGGCGATCGGTACAGTGATATTCGAAATCAGTTTTACCTCCAATCTCTCTCTGTTTCCCAAAGCCCCACCAAAATCGCACTAGTCCGTATTTGAATATCTCCGCAGCCTTACATTTTTCCGTGAGTCAGCGTAATTACAGTAATTCCATCTCTTGCGTCTGATTCGCCAAAGCTCTGGAGAATGCGCGTGAGGCTGTGATCTTGGTGGCTTAGAGGTATGTACTAATTTTGTTAGAGGATTCCTGCAGCCATTACGCTACGCGACACAACTTAGCTCCTTCATTTCCGTGGTGCTCGCCACCCCGCCAAATACTATGCCACTGCTTCAGTAATCTTCGAGGGAAGAGGACGAAAAACCGACAATGACTACATCACTCACGTCTCAATACACTGGAATTGCGAGTGAAATACTTACCACTTGACCACGTGTAAGAAGAGCACATGCAAAAAAGGAATAGAAGAGAGCATATGCACTCTTCCTAATCATGAATCTTCTAAATTAAGCTTGGCATACTGATCGACAAACCCATCGAACAGCTTGTTTAGTCCGAGCAGGTTCAAGGGATCCTTATCACCTTGTGCATCCATGAAGCAAAGCATGTTATGGATGTCAAAAGTGATGGCCAACAGGTATCCGTATTCAGATTCCAGAAACACCTGATCCCCGGTATCTGAATCACCGGGTCAGTTTGTTCCACTGTCTGGCATACTCGTCACAGAAATGTCTCTTCTCGTCCTCGGTATATTTCCTGCAGCCTGCTATCCTGCTCTCCTCATCAAACCACTTGAACATCTTTTGCATGAAGTGCCCACCAATGTCAAATGCTCGGTAGTTCTGCATCACGAACTCAAAGTCAATTAGGATGACTTTGCTCTCCCCTTCCTTCACATGACTTTTCACCATCACGTTCATGAATTGGATGTCATGAATACACCATCCAGTCTTTCCTCCTATGGTTTCCAGCTTGTCCACCACATTTCTCAGTCTCCTCCCATAGTCATAGTCGACCAGTTTGTCGATACTGATACCTGCTTCTTTTCCAAGTGCCTTCAACTTGTCCATTTTGA